TGCCAGAGGAGAAGACAGAGCTGGGAGGATCCTGTAGTGACAATACGTATGTATCACTTCCATTCAACTCACTAAGCAGAACCAGTCACATGGCTCTGACAGACTATAGGAGACACAGAGGTACAATACTATCATGTGCCTAAAACGGGGGAAAATTAAAATTATTTGGCAAAGGGCACTGACTACAATACATTATTTCATAAAATAATAAGCTAACCATTACTTGGACAACCATGAGTTGAAAATTGAAAATTTTCTCTTGAAAATTTCTGCTACGTACTTCCCACAAGTCAGGAAATATATTAAATTTTGGATAGTAATTTGGCATTCTGTTTCTTGGTTCACAGCAGGTCTACATGGAGGATTAGACTCACTCTGTTTCTATTTTTGCTCCACTTCTCAGTTTTTAGAGACTGCATCACCATAAATAAAAGTAATTAATTGGTGTTGTAGTCTAATCCATATGTCACCAAAATATGATGATGCAAATGACACATCTCTCCATATGCTTTTCTCATTTGTTATTCTTTACTCCGATTCTTCATAGATATGGTTTTCTTTTTGCACAGACAGGTATCTCCTCTTCTAATTTATTATGTCAATATATTCTATTCTTGTTGTAACTTGAAGTTACTATTTTTAATCTAAGTTATACATGTAACACTGAAGAGTCAAATGGTTCTACAAGGCTTGTTATGAAAAACAGCTCACACAGCCCCACCCTCCACTTCCTGTTCTCCAGAAGTTACCACTTTTCATTCTTTTACCCACTTTTGTTCATCTCTATACTCTAGCTCATATTGCTACTTCTTGTTTTTTTCTATAGCAACATTTTTTAATGGTGTTCTGGAAGAATTTTGCAAACATGCAATACCTGACCTCTTTCCCCTTAAGATTGTCAAAAAAAAAAAAAAATGACAATGAACACAATGAGAGCCATCCTGTGCAAATACCCTATCTTGAATCATAAATATGTAGGTCATATATAGAGATGCACCTTATTGGTCACAATGCATAATAAGGTTGTGTATGATAGATAAAAGTATAGGCACCTGATTTTTTAAAAAGTCACTTTGGAGCAAAAAGGGTAGGAAATTATTCTTTTTTTTTGTAAATCAAAAAACAATTACAACTTTCTTTTGGTGTTTGAGATCGGCAAAAAATATAATTTTGGGTGTGCCACAGAATTTTAGTAACTAGTTTATGTGTGCCACGAGATGAAAAGGTTGAAATCGCTGTTCTGGAACAGTGGTCGGCAAACTCATTAGTCAACAGAGCCAAATATCAATAGTACAATATCAATTGAAATTTCTTTTGAGAGCCGAAAACCGACTTCTGAGCATGGGCCAAGAAGTTTCAACCGTACTGTATGTGCGCCCACACGTGGTATTATGTGGAAGAGCCACACACAAGGGGCCAAAGAACCGTATGTGGCTCTTGAGCCGCGGTTTGCCGACCCTTGTTCTAGAATATTATACACTAATTTTCCACTATGGGGTATGAGCATTTAGCTCTAATGACCACCACCACCTGCTCCCTCACATCTGCATGCAAAGAAACATTTCCTACACCCCATCTTCTCAAGTGAATTTCATCATGGTTTTGATTAGGTTAATAGTCAATAGGCTTACATTATAATGTCTATGCAAATTATAGTCTTAGCTCACTTAAAAGGTTTTTCATAACATTTCTTTCTTTTCTTGTAGCTACTTTATTTTTCTTTGGGGTTACTGATTATTTTGTGCTTTACTGGCTTGTTTTTTTTTGTGTTTTTTTTTTTTTTTTTCCTAGTTATCACTAATTTAAACCTAAGCTTACCTCTAGTTGTAAAAATTACTCAATTTGTTCAAATATATTCGTTATTCTTACAATTTCATAATTTTGGAGAAAACTTTCTGGAACCTTCTAATTTGCTGCAATGTGGGTTGGCTGCTGTTCATTGGTCCTGCTGAGTAGCTGTGTGGTACATAAGTTTTGGGATCTCCCTGCATTATCATTCTGGGGAATATTGTTATCTTGCTCTGGATAATCTATTTCTTTGTTCTTAGGTATTCCTCATCTTCAGTGTATGTCCTTCAGTGTATTTTTGTAGAGCATGTTCTCCAGTGGAGTCTGAGGTGCATGGGCATAAATTTTTTGAATCCTGAATGTGGCTTTATCCTATCCTCACATTTAATTACTTTGGCTCAGTATAGAATCTAGGTTGGAAGTAATTTTCTCTTAGATTTCTGAAGGCATTCCTCCATTGTCTTGTTTCTGTGTTGCTAAGATAAATTTATAGCTATGCAATTCTTGATCTTTTGTTGGAAATCTTTCTTTTAATCTAATTCTACAAGTTTGTAGGATATCACTTTGTTCCCAGAGTTCTGAACCTTTTCAGTAATGTATTAGTGTGTGGGTTTCAATGGACCTTTTCAATGGACCCTTTCAATCTGAAAACTCAGGTCTTTCTTTCACTAGTGGAAAACTTCATTGAATTGTATTTTTGACTATTTCCTTCACTTTATCTGTTCTCTGTCTGGAACTTGTGTTTTTTAGATTTTGAACCTCTGGGGTTGGTTCTCTAATTTTCTTAAATTTTTCTTTCTGACCTTCCATTTCTGCCTGTATTCTATTTTCTGGAGAAATTTCCTCGATTTTATCTTCCAACTCTTCTATTAAGTTTTACATTGTTGATATTGTAGATTCTAATAGTGGCTGTTTTCTGAATATTATTTTTGAGGCATTCTACTTCTTCATAGACTTGCTTCCTCCCAGTTGCTTTTTTCTTTAATAGCATTTTATTATTTTGATGTCAAAATCATTTTTACCTAATGAGTCACTCAGAAAATGAAATTCAAAAGAATGATATTTAAAAGTGAGGTACTTCATGCTACTATCATTATTTTGCTATTTTCTAACCACAGGTAAATAACATGTCCAGAGCTCAACTTGAGTTATTTTTGCTTAATTACTGTGTACCAGGTACTCACATGAAAACATCAGGAATACATATAAATGATACTTTTTAAATTTTGTTTTTTGTCTGTCTTTCACTCTCAGATGCTCTCCTCCAGTACCTGGCAATCCTTGACTGTGCTGCTGATATAAAACAGTGTAAACTAAAGTCAAGAGCAAGGTCTGTTTGGATGGACAGTGATGGGTAGGTTCACTGTAAGTAAGCTGGCTATTTCCCTGAAGAACCACTGAAGTCAGAATGTCTGCATGGTTTTTCATTTGTAACTTCTGCTTAGAGAAAACTCTTCCTGCCTGGAGGGATATACATACTGGAATTTTGGGGGGAAGGGCAAGTGGGGTGAAGCCAAATTCTGAAGCTAAATATATTCATCACTAGAGGCCCGGTGCTTGAAATTTGATGCATGAAAGTAGGCCTCCCTTCCCCTGGCTGCCGGCACCAGCTTCCCTCTGGCACCAGAGACCCAGGCTTCCCTGCAGCCCAGCTTCATCTGGAAGGTCGTCCAGTCTAATTGGCATATTATGCTTTTACTATTACAGATTCCTTTTCCAGTAGGGTAGTGCTGTACTTGAACATGCCTGATCTCACTCAGTTCAGAGAATTAAATTCTAGTCTTCTGTCAGCCCAGGGAAGGGAATCCAATTGCTTTCTGAAGAGAGAGACCTCTGACCAATTCTCATGTCTACAGTTCCATCTTTACCCCATTTCCAGTTCCCGAGCTTCCAGAGATTAAATCTAAATCACATTGCTTCTTGGTTTATACCTACTGCTGACTTGGTGTTCAGCTTTCTTAGGCGGCCAAGTTAGTTAGCACTTAACATCTGCTTTCCAAGGAACAAAAAATGTTGCTGTTGTCTTCTCTCCTCCTTTCTTATGCCTTGAGGGTTTATTTTTAACTATTCTAACTGTCCCTGGAGTGGAATCTAAGAGGGAGCAGAGCTAACTGCCTGCACTAAAGCCGCCATTTTTAAATGAAGGTTCTATTCTGCTCTTCCACAAATTAAAGAATCACGGTTCCTACGCACGGAAAGGGACCCCAAGAGAGTGTGTAGGGCGTCCTTCCTTTCAGAGAGCACTGCATGCTGTCTAATTTGTAGATGAGGGGATTGAAGCACCATAAAGCTATACTGCCCAAGATCATACACAGTCAGACAGACAGATACCATGTTGTTATCCATTCTGTGTACCGTGAATGATTATACCTCAGAAGTTTTATGTTTTTTTTTTTGTTTTTTTTTCTAATTTAGAACTACTTCAGCAACAGCTACTAGCAGATTCTTTTCTGTAATAACTTGAATTTGCACCCTCTTCCAGTCGGCAGATGAATTCTTCATAGTAGAATATTCTGTTAAATGAGCTATAAAAAGTGGCGAATGTTTTATTTCTTGTTCTTTGGCTTACCATTTTCAGACACATCCAGGTTGTGTGTTTTTTAAGTAGTTGATATGCTTTAGACATGTTCTTTTGAGTAATGTATATAAATGCTCTTAGAGAGCAACTATCAATATACCGTAACTGAAATGTAATCTGTATAACCTTTAAAAACAAGTGGTAAAATAATTTTGAAATTTCAGGAAATGCTTTAAACTGAAACACACACACACACACACACACACACACACACACACAAACAAAAACAAAAAACAAACAAACAAAAACCCCCACATACAACAACAAAACAGCTTGGTTTCAGTGTTTTAATCTATTATTTGGTATAATGCTATTTGCTACATTTTAGAAGAAAAAAAAACAAAAAAAAACCACACAGGCTTTGACAAAAAGCCATTTTGCAGGGGAAAAAAGGACCTGAGATTTGGGATTTAACTTATTGTAAGTTGATGCTACCTTCCTCCCAGCTCTATTGTAATATAAACAAACTATAGCCTTAAAATAATTCTTAAAATTTTAACAAAGTTGTTTTTGATGGAAAATTCATTTTAGTCTATAAAAATTTTAAGAGCATTATAAGAAGCTTTAACCAATGCATCCCTCTCGAAGAAATGAAGAATAAAAAACAAAACAAAAACCACTGCTAAATACTTACAGACTCTTTTCTGCCCATAGTTTTGCTGTGTGAGCGGGAACGGGAAATGTTGCTGAAGAAGGAATCCTTTTTGGTAGCAGACAAAGGTGGGGAGCCAGTGAATTCTCTTCCTCCAGGCAGACTCTCAATGCTTGGAGATGAACTGATGTTTTTAGAACTCTGTCCTGTAAGATACATTAAATGGCAATAATGAAACACCACCCTTTCACTAGGTGATTGAACTTTCTGCTTTTAATAAATGACCCATTATGACACTTCTTTGTTTACACTGTCAACACAATGGCACTACGGAGCATTAAAGGGCATGCGTTTTTATGCACCAGAGTAGCTGTCGATGTTTTAAAACAATGAAGTACGCTCTAGTTTTCTACATGTAATTTATACTGCAACAGTCCAGGTGTTACACACATATAAAAAAATAAAAAATACAGTTTTTAGAAATCCCAGGTTTAAAAACTGAACCCTCAGTAATGGAATCATCCTTAATAACAGAAAGTGGAAACTATTATACTATACATTATATTATTAATATAAAAATTTTGAAATCCTTCACAGTTTTTCAAAAGGGTCCCTTCCCTTTTCATTAATGGCAGAATAGATGTATTGGCTATCCCAGCCTGTGGTAGAAGTATCTAGAAATGGGGACAAAGTGCTGGCTCACATGGCCTCTAACTAGATTGGTCCCTGAATTAGAGTGGGTGCACCTGTGACCCCCAGCAACGCTCTTTTCATTGAGAGGTTATGCGAAAAAAGCTCCCCCAGACAGGGGTCAAGCTGCAATGGGTGATATTGTTGCTGACCTGGAAGGACAGTAACCCTGAGATAGGAGAGGAGAGGGGAGAACAGGTCCCAGCACCTAGGAGATCTCAAGGGCACAGGGTCCTAGAATGTCAGAGTTAAAAAAGACCTCCAGGCCCTCCCTGATTTGGCTCAATGGACAGAACACCAGCTTGTGGACCAAAGGGTACTGGATTCAATTCCGGTCAAGGGCACATACACCTTGGTTGCAGGCTCCTCCCTGGTCTGGGCCCTAGTCATGCAGAAAGCAACCAATTGATGTGTTTCCTCACATTGATGTTTCTCTCTGTCTTTCCCTCTTTCTTCCACTCTCCCTAAAAAGCAATGGAAAAATATCCTCCAGTGAGGATTAACAACAAAAATAAATAAATAACCCTGGAACCACCTAACTTATTTTTTTCTTTTTAAAAATGTATCATTAATAAGTGAATATAGTCTCACTGTAAATAGATTAAATGTGAAAATTGCCTTTATAAAATAACACCAGCTTTACTGAGATATCATATACCATAAAATTCACTCTTTTGAAATGTATAAGGCAGTGGTTTGATGAAGTCCCATTTACCTATATTTTCTTTGGTTGCTTGTGCTGTTGGTATCATGTCTAAGAAGCCATTGCCTAAACCAAGGTCACCAAGATTTACTCCTATGCTTTCTTTTAAGAGTGTTATAGTTTTAGTTCTTGTATTTAAAGCTATTGTTCATTTTGAGTTAATTTTTGTATAGAGCATGAGGAAGTAGTTTAACTTTATTCTTTTGCATATGGATATCCAGTTTCCCCAATACTATTTGTATAATAGACTATTCTTTCCACATTGAATGGTCTTGGCACCCTTGTTTAAAATTAATTTACTATAAATTTACAGATTTATTTCTATGTTCTCAATTCTATTCAATTTATACACAGCTATCTTTATGTCTGTGTCATGTAGCATTTGATTATTGTAGCTATAGTAAGCTTTGCAATCAAAGAGTATGAGTTCTCCTTCAACATTGGATATTAGAGGTGGGCTGCATTTCCACTTGAGTCTTAAGATTTAGTTTGTTAATTTCTCCCAAAATTATACCTGAGATTCTGATAGGGATTGTTATGAATGTGTAGATCAATCTGGGTAGCATTGCCATCTTAACAATATAAGATATAAGCAAAATACATTTATACTGTCTTTTATATTTACTTATGTAGTTATTTTTATCATTACTCATTTTCTTTGTATAGATTTGAATTAATTTCCAGTGTCCTTTCATTTCAGCCTGAATGACTCCCTTTACTGTGTCTTGTAGGACAGATTTGCTAGCAATTAATTGTTTTTAGCTGTAACTGCCTTAATTTTCCTTCCTTTTTGAAAGAGTTTTATTAGATATAGAATTACTGGTTTACAGTCTTCTTTAAAAAAAATCACTTTGACTGCTTCATCCTACTGCCTTCTAGCCTACATGGTTTTGATGAAAAATCAGCTATTATGTTATTGAGGTTCCCTTGGAAACCATGAATTGTTTTTTCTCTTGCTGCTTTCATGAATTTTTGTTGTTGGCTTTTAACACATAGTGCACGGATCACGAGAATTCTCCCTTACTATTACACAGTGTTTTACAAAGTATTATACTTTAAAAAAATATTAGCTTGTAAGAACATATAACAAATAACTTCAAAATGCAATGGGCATTTAATTTTAAAGCGTGCCTTTAACATTTATGTAAAATGTTTTTTTTTATACTCACTCAATAGAAACTTATCTGGCTACTGGATAAAACTACTGGTCCACAATGTGTTAAGTTTGACTATGATGTGTCGAAGTGTGGATGTCATTTGAGTTTATCCTGCTTGGAGTTAATTGAGCTTCTTGGATATATAATTTTTTTTTCATAAAACTGGAATATTTCACTAGCATTTCTACAAATATCCTTTTGCCCTTTTCTCCCTTCTCTTCTTCTTGACTCTCATCATCTGCATATAGGTATGAGACTTCATTTTTCTTTATTCTATTTTTCAGACTTCATAATTTCAATTGACATATCTTCAAGTTCTGATTCTATCAGCTGAAATTTGTTGTTCTGTAGTGAATTTCTTATTTATCTTAGTTAGTATACTTTTCAACTCCAGAATATCTGTTTGGTTCTTTATTAATATCTTTTTTTGGTGAGATACTGGTCTCATACATTCCTTTAGAGCTTTAGACAGTTTCCTTCAGCATTTTGAAGATATTTATAACAGCCCATTTAAAGTCTTTAGTAGGTCCAGTGCCTCAGCTTCCTCAGGGCAGTTTGTATTGACAGCTTTTTTCCCCTGTGTATGAGCCATACTTTCTATTTTCCTGTTTCTTTGTATGTCTCAAAATTTTTATTGAAAAGTGGGCATTTAAATAAAATAATATGGCAGCTCTGGAAATTAGATGCCATCCTATCCCTTGTACTTGTTTTTCTTGTTGTTTGTTGTTTTTAGCAACTTTGCTAAACTAATTCTGCTAAATCCATATTCTCTGTGGTTTCTGGCCACTGAAGTGGTTAGCTTAGTTAGTGGTCAGTAAGGAGACAGAGATTTCCTTTCCTTTACTACCTTGAACCACTAAGCTTTGGCTGGGCATGACCTCAGTGCTCCAGCAGAGATTTACAATTCTGCATTAGCCTTCATTCTTGACAATGTAGAGCCTCTAGTTCATCTAGAGCCGAGAGATGGAGCCATTCTCAATTCTTTCCTGCCTGTGTGGCCTTCTAGAATACCAGGAATATATTGGAGCTTTTCAAAGACCCTGATGGGTCTTTGATTTCTCCTTCTAAGTTTTTGCTAGCTTCTGATTTTCCCATTAAGTTTTTGGTTAGCAACTTGTTTGCTCCACTTCTGTACTGGGCAGCTGTGATGTTAAGCAATTTCCACTGACGATTTTTGATAGATGCCCTATGGACAGGGTTTCTCCCTTAGTGAGTTCTGAATAAGGTCAAATAAAGACAAGTCCTATGAATGAGGCTTTTCCCCAAGCTGCTGGACAAGTCAAACAGCTACCATTTACTGGGGATGGGGCTTTTAAGGTGTTCCCAGTCCTTCCTTCTCCTCCCATGGTTGCAAGGCTTATGGTCATCAAAGACTATGGCAGATATGGGAGGGGAGGGCAGGGATAAGGCAGGTTAAAAAGCAACAAAGCATGCTGCTCTTACTGAGATCCAGCTCTTTTTTCTTAAATAGATGCTTTTCAAATTATTGCAATTCTTTATTAATTTCCAGAGTTTTGGTAAAGCTTTGACATTTCTAATCTTGTTGCTTTTACGGAGCAACATTTTCAGAGGTCCTGTCATTCCAAAAACACTTCCCTCTCTGACTTGCTTTTTGTGTTCTCTTATATACAAGCCTGCCTTATCTTTTTAATGGCTGTGAATTAAAAAAAAAATTGTAGCTTTCCTAAATAGACATTTAAGATTTTTCTTTCTTTCTTTTCTTTCTTTCTTTCTTTTTTTTTTTTTTTTGCCTGTACAAACTAAATGACAATTCAAAGTCTAAAGAGGTACGTTTTTAGGTACAAACTGTTATCTATTTCTATTAGGCAAAGTTACATAAATGGGATTGCTATGTCTAATTGCATGTGCATTTTCAGTTTACATTAATAATTCTAAATTGCTTTCTCCTAGGATTTTAACCTACATATGTGTGTATGTATATTTATACATGTATAAATATAATATGATATATATTTACCTATTCATCTAATTTTTTATTTGATTATTCGATGGAAGCAGAATTTCATTATGCTACTTTAAAGTTTCTTATAACCCGTGAGGCTGAATATCTTTCAACTTATTCATATCAGTCATCTGAAGGCCCTGTGTGAATCATCTCTGCTCATTTATTTAAAAAAGCTGATTTAGGGAGTTCCTCCTAAGTTCTGGAACTCAGCCATTTGTATATAAGTGTGTGTGTGTGTCTATATTTTTCTCTATAGCTCTTGTTTTTATGGTTCTGCTTAGGAAGGCATTTCTTACTCCAAGATGATGTAGTGGGAAAAAATTTAAGTATTTATTTTAAACCTAGGTTTTTCTTTTTTCCCTTTATAAATATTTCTTCATCGCTCCGTGGAACTCTACTCGTTAAGCAGCTTTTATTGCTTTGGGGTGGTGGAAGATATAGCTAAAACAAAAGGAATGTTTGCTTAGCTCTGAGTTCCAAATTGCTTTTAAAAGTCCATAGTAAAAAAGATAAATCTAAGAAGCCAAAGCATTTTGATTTGCAAGAAAATAAAATGAAAAAAACATTTAGCTTTTTCTAAAATTACACAACTGAATTTATCTGTCCCTTAAAATTTGAACCATCTAGCTATAAAATTATCTGGTGCTGGTGACATTTTAAAGACATCACAATGATGGCTTTTTGGATTTT